AAAAAAAAATGGGCTGAACTTCTTCCTGCCGCGGGCCAAGGCGAGAGAGAGCGTGGCCACGGCGCGTCTGTGAGAGCGGCAACACGTTGTGTCTCTTTTTCGCCCCTTGCCCTTGCCCTTGCCCTCGCCGTCGCTTCTTCGTGCAGCCGTGCATTTTTCAAAAAAGATCCGCCCAGCCGACCGAATTCCGAGCCGCGATTGAAGTCAGGGTCTTGCAGGAAGATCGCTATCGGGCTGCCGATATGGCTTTTCCGGTCGGCACGCGACGCGCCTCTCTGGCAAATTCCGAGCTCTGCTGGAGGGCAGCAGCGGACCCTGAGTGTTCGGTTCCTCCACCACGCCCCGGAAAGGTGGCCGTGCTAAAGTGTTGCTCTGCTCTCTCCTCTTTCGCGCTTTTCGGCTCGGCTTCCGGCCATCACAGGAAAGAGAGCCAGAGTGAATGCGGTGCTCCTTCGACCGCTACTCCCCTCACTCACTCAACCCTAAACCGAGCACAAACCGACTCCGAGCGGCAACGGTAAGCTCAACCAGCTTGGCTTTGCTCCCACACCTGGTCTCGACGCTCGTCTACGCTTGTTCGCCAACTTTGGCCTCAGCAGCCCGCCGCACGCCACCCTCGCACGGAGCATTCAATCGCAAGAGGCGCTCGCATCCACAGGCTGGTGTAACATCTCCCGAATCACTTCCCGATCATGCTCTCCAACTCGAAGCTAGCGCCATGCCTGCAACCTTCTTGACGGCTTCGAAGCAACTACCTAGAGCTCCTCCTTGAGCATATGCACCCATCGACCAAGAGCTTGTCCAACAGCAAACATGGACTCGTATCGCTCGGCTCGCACAACCGCCATGGCAGACGCAGATGACCGAGGCCGCCCCGTCTTCTCTCGTCCTCGACCCACGCCATCTGGCTTGGACGAGCTGCGTCGCAACTTGCACCAAGCTCATGCGCGCGAATCCACCCATCGGCCCTACTACCCCTCGCCGCTGTCCCAGTCGCCTCTGCAGGCGTCGCTCTCCTCCACCACCCATACCGCCGCCTCGGTCGCCAGCACGTCTCGCACCACACTCTCCACCTCCACCACACCTCCGTCCACTTCGTCTCGCTTCTCCATCAACCAGGCTTTCAAGGCTTTGACCGACGATGACATCCACTTCTTTGACCGCCTCATCTCCACCCTCCCGCCGCAAGCGGCTGACTTTTCGCAGCTCAAAAGTGCCTATACTCGCCTCTTGCCATCCGAGTTGGAGCACAGGTCCCACCATTCCCGAGACACCCCAACCGATACCGATTGGGACACTCACCTCTGGGCCATCCTCCTCAGCCTCGTCAAAGTACGCGGCACAAACTGGCGAGAGCGTTGGGACTCGGTCCGCCTCGCCTTCGGTCTCGATCCACACAGCGGCGACGAGACCGATCAGAGCGCCTCGACGCAGAGCTCGCAAGCCAGCGCATCCAGCTCCTCGACACACGATCGTGTCGAGCCTCCCTCCCAGCCCAGCTGGCGTTTGCTCGATCACGTCTCGCAGCGCAGCGCACCGAGGAGAGATCATCCGCTTAAGCGAACGACACCACGCCCGCAACGTGCTGCAATTGGCTCACAACGCTCAAGAAGCCCGTCGCCTCCACCATTGGTCTCACGAGCAGAGCCTCAAGGTCGGTCACATCACGGCGCCCACCACGACAGAAACGCTCAAGCACAGCACGCACAACCCTCGCTCGACGACTCCATTTCGGCCATCCAAGCTCGTCTCAGCACTTTGCTCGACCCCGAAGAAAAGCTGCACCGTGGCTACCATAACGACATTTCCAATCAGAGATCGTCATCTCCTCCTGCCTCAAGCGAGACTGCCTTACAGACGACGCCTCGCCTCCCCAACGATACCAAGCGACGCTTCGACGACCTCGTTCGCTCCTCTCAGCTCGAACGTGCTCAGCTGCGAAACTCGCAATCCGCAATACGGCAGCGAGAGCAAGACCAAAGGCAGACAGCAGACGAGCATCTCGCAGACCTCTTCCGCAAACGCCGCCTTCTTCAAGTCTCCCTGGCATGGTGGGCCGCCCTGGCTCAGCAACAGGCTGAAAAGTGCCAGAATGCAGCTGCAGCCGCTGCCCGCGTCCGCCTTACCAAAGCGTGGGAGCGTTGGCGCGCCCAGACACACCAGGATCTCGAAGGACGGCGCATAGGCGAAAGAACAGATCGCGTGCGCTGTACTCTCACCGCATTCCGCCGCTGGAAGCGAACCACGCACATCGCCGCAGAGCGCAAGCAGGAGCTCAGAAAGGAGTCCATGCGCTCCGCCTACTACACTACCACCGTGGCCGTCCGCAAGCGCATCTTGACGCAGGCGCTACATTGCTGGCGCGAGCGTCGGATCGACGCCGTCGCCAATCGAGTGCGAAGACGACATCTCCAGGCAGGCGCTTTTGCCCTCTGGCAGATGCGATCGCTGCATGTACAGCAGCTACGCACTCGCGAACGCGCAGCCAAGGCCAAGCACAATCGAGCTACGCTTGCGCACGCGTGGAGCGTGTGGACCGAGCGAGCCGAGACAGCAAGCGCCGTCGGTGACTTCCAGCACCATCACAATCGCATCTTGCTCTTGGATACATTTCACGACTGGAGGCAGAAAGCCATGCTCTCGAGGCTCGCCGAGGCGTTCACGGAACGCCGCCTCAAGCTTGCCGCGCTTGACTCGTGGAAGATGGCGCTCGACCAGCGGCGTGTCCATGGAAAGCAGGAAGCGCTCGCAGCACGGTGGCATTTGCGCAGGGTCAAACAAAGCGCACTCACAGCCTGGCGCCATCGACTCCAAACCGTTGCCAACATGCAGCGAACCGCCACCGAGATCCACGATGACCGCCGGTGGGAGACAGTCGGCGTCGTCTTTCGGCGCTGGCAGCTGCATGCGCGCGCAGCCTTATTCGACCGTGCCCAAGCCGCTGAAAGCCTGCAAAGCGCTTTCTACCACTGGAAGCACCGCCACCGTGCTCTTGTCGAAAGCTTGCAGCAGCGCGAATCTACACTCGCATGCAAACGCCAACGGCATAGCCTGTCGGTGGTGTTTCAGCGCTGGAAGAATGTTGCACAGCATATCCAAGCACGAGAAGAGCTTGCCGTGGCGCGCAGAAGCGAGAGCATCTGCAGCAACGCCTTTGTCGCTTGGAGGAGCAACCATCTGCAACTCCGCCTGCGCGCCGAGAAGGCCGCCGCTGTGTCGGACTATTTCGTCCTCCGATCTGGGTTCCAGCAGTGGCGTGCTCAGCTGCGCGAGCAGCGCGCAGAGCGTAAAGCAGCCTCGCATGATCGGCGGCTGTTGCAGCAGACGTTTGAGATCTGGCGCGCCCGAACAGCCAAGCAGCAACGCCTGGATTCGCTGCTGCAGCGCTCGCTCTCCAAGAGCAACAGAATGCTGGCGCGGTCGTATCTTGGCCAATGGGTCGGCCGCATAATCGAGGTGCGCAGCAGGGAGCTTGAAGTCAAAGAGGAGCGCGACAGGCGGCTGGTCAAGACGGCCTTCTATGCGTGGATCGATGCGTGTTTGCGACACGATGACCTACTGGCGCTCATGAACAGCTATATCGACGTCAAGCAGGAGGATCGCAAGAAGCGCACATTTGCACTTTGGCTCGCATCGGCTCGGGCGCAGAAGGAGCGGCGCGAGAAGGAGGAGCTCCTGACCGCGTCGGTACGCACACGACGGCTTGCGAGCACGGTGGCGTTGTGGCGGGACAGGATGCGGGAACGCGCTCTGGCGACGCAGGAATACGAGATGCTCATGCGGCGACAGCAGCTCTCATTGCAATGGGCGCTGCGTTCGTGGCAGTCGCACACAAGCATGCTACCCGCGATCCGCATGCGCAATACGTCGCTCAAGCGCACTGCCGTGCAGCACTGGCGAGACAAGCTGCCCGAAGCGCAGATGAGCAACGACGCAGATAGGATTGCCAGACGAAAGACGGTGGAGATGGTGTGGACGCGGTGGACGGACCAGGTGAAGCGCAGACGACAGCTGCGAGCTGCGGCACGGTTTGGCGCGGGAAGTATCACTGCCGAAAGGCTGCGTACGCTTTCGGCAGCGGCAGCAGCAAACAGGTCCGGGGGATCGTCGTCACCGATGCAGCGATCTTCATCACCACTCACCGCGCTGGTGGTCACGTCGACGCCGAGACAGCGGCCCAGGACCAGCTTTGCGCTGCTTCCGCCCACGAGGGAAAGTGCACGCACTGGGCGGAGCGCGTCCCTTCCGCATTCGGAAGGCGGAGATTCGCCTTCGCGAGAGGTAGCGGCTCGAAGAGAGTTGGTGCCTGCAGCTACGTTGACGGCGACAAGTGCGAGCGAGCGGAGCCGCTTCTCGCTCGCGCTGCACTCGTCCAGCTCGTCCGTCTCACCACCCCATGACCCCCCTGCCGTGCCCGCAAAGTTCAGAGAAGATGCGACACTCGCATCTGCTACCCAGCATCCACACACCCGGCCCAAGCGCTCGGCCAAGTACGCCGACGCTCGCGGCCGAAGCGGATCAATATCTGTGGATCCAGCAGCAAAGACGCGGAGAGAGGAGGAGGAGGTGGAGTCGGTCAGGTCGGCTCCGGTGCGCACGGCGTCGCGTGCAGTGGGCGAGGATCTGATCAGCCAGCTCCGTGAGAGAGCAAAGTCCAGGAACCGTGTACAGTAGCTCCCACCCGCACAAAGACAAGTCATACCCTCATTCGGTCGCGCCGAATGTGGAAATCGAAGAACGCATGCGAGGAAAGGCGGAGCGCGGAGAGCGGTGCACATGCACGGCCGTGGCGTGTGAAGAGTGAATGAAGCGGCTCAGCGTGGTTAACCGCGTCGGGCAGCTCCGGATGATTGCGTCTTGGCATCGTCCGCTCGAGGCGCATTGCCGCGCTATCTTTTTCGCTCGAGTTGTAGATCTGGGCTTGCTGTGGCGTCGATCTTGTCGCCAGGGTCGAGGTCGATTCGCAGAGTTGCATCGTGCTATACTACTATCAAACAGAGTCATCTCGTATGGAGAGAACCAGCCACGACAAGCATCGTCTCCTCGTCAGCCCACTGCAGAACAGCGGTACGATCAAGGCTTTACGCTTTTGCGCCGAGTCACTCCTTCTGAGCCCGCGACAGCAGATACCGTAGCAACGCAACGCAACGCGTAGCACGTGGCTACTCGATCTTTGACGCGCCATTGCACCGAAGGATCACCGGCTTTCATATGCGGAGCTCTTGCATGCACGCGTGGTCGATGCGATAAGCCACCTGAGGATCCGCCAAACGTCGGACGACGCAGCCGGGTTGAGCTCTTTCCCACACACACGCGGCGAGAAGCGCTGTGGCGTCGAAAGCTCGCTCTCACACACACGGTGGGGATCACGATGGCGTCCAAGGTCGTTCGCACGGTGAGAGTCGCTTTGGCGTCTGGGATTCGTCCTCACGAACGATAAGAGGTGCTGTGCAATATGCGCATAGGAAGAGTCGAACTATGTGCGTGTGTGGATTCCAAGCGGGTTGGCTGTACCACGACGTCTTCTTAGTGATCTTGCGGGCGTTGCTCCACTGTCAGTCCAGAATGAAGCACTGTAGTTCGAGCTCGCAGGGCTGTGCTGCACTACTCGCAGCCAGCCGAGGCGAGATCGCTTTGCCCCACCGGCAATCCCAGCGTTCCGACCACGCAATGTGGGCTTCCGCAGCAGTGCGTGCTCGGAGAAGCTCTCCCAACGCATCTTCAAGTCGGTGACGTCGACATAAATACGCGCTCATCTCAGCCCCCTTTTGTTGCCATTCAGTCATCCGCACGTTCTCTTCCAACATGTTCTTCACGTCGCTTTGCATCTTCTTCCTTACCTGTTTCTCCAGCGTCTTGGCCGGTAATGCTATGCGCCGGTTTGCAACGAACGACAACCTGGTCGGCCGCTACTGCAACCGCTACGATCCTCCGCAGGGCCAGTTTGTATGCTTCCAGTACATCGGCAACATTCGAGACCACATGACCTCGACCGATGCCTCCATGCATGGATACGTCAACTCGGCCGGCAATAGTAAGTACAAACACCTTGGTCTCAGTCGTGTTCGGGGGGAAGGCGCTGACTTGCAGGGGGGAGTGTAGGGTTTGTGGTCATGTTCGACGGCAAGACCGAGGCTTTTAGCACGGACAGGATGGACGTGGTGATCAGCTACAGTGTGCCTTGTCTGGAGGTCAGCACGCTCGACAGCGGCGGAGACAGCAGAGAGTACCAGGGCTGTTCGTGGAGCCCACCCATCTTGGTCTACTAGCCGGCCAAACGCACAGCGGGCGTCGCTCTTCATTGTTGAACCTAGCGTTACATGATGATCGTGTGCGCAGGTGCTACACCGTGTGCAATGCCCATCCATGCTTCATCTACACCCTTTGTGCGCCGTTTCCGAATGCATGTTGGTGCGCAATAGAGAGCAAGTCTGACTTGTGTTGCTCTTGCATATGCATGACTTGGTCGCCCGGCCCAACTTGCGAGCAGGGATCTCGGACCCGACACCTTGAGCCATTACCACTGTAGGGCGCCGTCGTGGCGTAAATGCTTGGAGAACTGCACACAGCAGAAAGACAGTCACGAGCGTGTGCAGGGCCACTTCAAGTGAGCAGTGATCGATACCTGGCGCACTCGGTCGTATCTCAATCTCTCGGTTGGTCTCGGGCAACAATGGCGAAAAACAAGCATGACATTGGATCTCGATCAAAGCATGGAAAGGTTGAGCAACACGGAAGCGGGCAACGGGTGCATCGATACTGCACTCCGAACCGAGCGCTAGCTTGCACTCAATCGGCGAGCGCGATGGGTCCATCGCCGTTGCAGGCGTAATGGTGGTCGCTGTGTCCATTGTCGTCACCGGCCGAGGCAGCATCCTCGACCGTAACGTACAGACAGTCCGACGTCTCGGACTGCGAGATGTGCACGACCGTCTTATCCGTCTGGAACGCCCAAATTCCGCTGTTGGGCTTGTACACCACCACAAAAACTAGCGTTTCCAAGCAGAAAGGAATCAGTCTTCGGTCACATTCCACTATTGAACGCAGGACGGACGCGGAGACCGAGAGAGGGGGTCGAGTGTGCATTCAAGCGTCGAGGTCGATGGCAGGATCGGTGTTGCAGGCACTATGGCCAACGGAGCCGGGGCCGTCTTCACCGCTCAAGTCTGCGTCGTTGACCGTAGTAACGATCAGACACTCGGACGTAGCGGGATGCGACATGTAGACGGTGGTCTTGTCCGTCTGGAACTGCATCTCCTCGATGTCGGGGTCGCAGACCACCACAAACACTACCATGCCCCAAGCCCAAAGAATCAGTCTTTACTATTCAACGCACGACGAACGCGGGAGACTGGCACCGTGTGCATTGACACTGCGCTTAGTCGGGGCTGAGCGCAAGCTCGCACTCAATCAGCGAGCCAGATGGCAGGATCGGTGGTGCAGGCGTTGTGATCGACCGATCCGTCGTCACCACCATCCTGGTTGCCGTTCCAGTCGGCGTCATTGAGCGTAGTAACCACCACGCACGGATTGCCATCGGGATGGGAGATCCACACGCCCGTTCTGTCCGTGTGGAACTCGATCACCTTGGTGGCGGGGTCCAACAACACCACAAACACTAGCCCGCCGAAGCACAAGCATCAGTCTCCGTAACCCTTCACCTGTTCACAAAAGGGACGGAGAGAGGAGAAGGGAGGGGGCGAGGATGGGATGGAATGGGGAACTCACTGTTTCCGGCGGTGTTGACAAAGCCCTTGGTGGAGTCGTCGGCGGACTGCATACGCTGGCGGATATCGCCATTAAGACGGAAGCAGGCATAGTCGCCAGCAGGAACAGTACCCTTGTGCTCGCAGTAGGCGCCGACCATGTTGTCGTCCGTCTTGAGGAATTGAGTCGGGTCGTCCGGCCGGTTGATGCTCTTGCTGGCAACTTGGCCCGCCACGACGGCAAGGACGAAGAGAGTGAGACGAGTGAACTGCATGATCGAAGTTGAGCAGGCGGTGAAGATGGGCAAGAGCGGTAGAGAGTCGCATTTGGAAGAGACCTTATATCTTCGACCGTGGTGGAGAAACGTGCTGGAATTGGGCAGGGGTAGACATGGCTGTGCAGTCCCACCCGAGTTGTGGTTGGAAGCGCTTCGTTGCTGCCCACCTCCGTCCTCACATTGTTGGCCCCACGCAGCCGTTTCAATGCCGAGAAGTAAGGTGGCTCCCTGCACGCCCCACGTCTGAGATGTTCCCGCCATGGCTTCATTTGGTTCTCCTGTTTGGGGGGCTTGTGGTCCAGCTGCAGAACGCAGGAGGCAGCTGAGCGACTCCAACACGCATACCCTCTCCTCAATCCTATTTCGTCGCTGCACTAGTCCGTCGCTCGTATACTGTATGTGGGGCTCTTCATGCACTAGATCGACCCCCTCTCTGCAGAAGACTATGTCTACTGCCAAAGCAACCCGCCTGGAATGTCAAAATGAGTGACATACGTGCGCAACTCTGGACAGTCACAGTATCATAGCGAGCACACTGGTGGCGACAAGTGGCGTTAACGCGTCATGTGCACCGTGATGAAACCGTCAGGTGGCTGGTGTGGTGACTATCACCGCAGGCTGCCTGTCAGACATCTAGAAACGCAAGACATGCGGCTTCGACCTCGACCGCATGCATCGTAGATACCGCCGCCCTCCTCGGAGCGACGAATCGCGCACGCACACATCCCGATCTGGACGAGGGAGGTTGACTGCGACCTTACGCATACATTGTGCGCGCTGCAGCCTCCACGCTGGCAGGTGCGTACAAGTCCACGTTCGCGTCACACTGCTCGCACCCGCACGGATGATGCCGACGTTGTCCGATGCATCTCACGACCAGTCCCCCTGGACGATATTGGCCAACGCCGCTCATAAAATCTGCCGCCTCGCCCGTCCCAGCCATGCCGCCGTACCGTCTGCCTGCCTGACTTACCTGAGCTCTGACGGACATGACATCTGACAACTCGGCTTGGACACGGCATGACTCGGGCTTCACGGCATGGCTTTGTGACTCTCGCTCTTGATAGCACCATGCTTCTTCGCTTTTTCGCGAAGGTGGAGAAGTTCACAGCCTTCACCGTCAGGCGGTTATGCAAGCTGTGCTTCTTCGGACTTGGCCCGTCTGGTGCGAGTCTGGCATGGCTTTGGTCGGCTTGGTATGCTCTGACTTTGTCACTTCACGATCCATTGCTCACGTTGCTGCGCGCGAGAGCACGATCCAGCATTGCTCCTGTATTGACTGCATCCTTGCATTGCCATAGATCACCGTGCGGCTGTGACAAAGCCCTGTGCCTGTGTGACGAGGCCCATGTGGACTTGGCCCTCCTAATGCACCTTGCCTTCATCTCTCGTCCAGCAACATACGTTTCAGTCTCTCTCCAGTCGTTACAAATCGCCTTTAAACCTCGCAACTCAGAATCCCCGCAGCCATGATGCGAGTGCACACAATGGTGCCACAACAAATCAGACCGCCATGCGCAATTCTCCGCACTTGACCTGCTCACATCAGTGCGCCACACACAAACGGCGGCGATTGTTGGCATTGCTGCGCGGATGAAGGTTACGCATCGTCCTTGCCCTCGTGCGCATCCGTCGCCGACGACGCCGCCACGCCGCGCGCAGTGGCGATCGACGACGTCGACACGCTCTCCGGCATGCCCACCTGAGCTGATGCGGCCTGGGCATCTGCACCTGCCGCATTCGCCGCAGCGATGCCCGCCGTCGCAGCCGTGGGCGTATTAGGCGTACCCGAATCCACCGCTGCCACTGCCGGCACCGCCACCACCGCCGCTTCCTTCTGCCGCTTCTCCCTCTCGAGCCTGCGTGTCGACTTGGACCGCGTCGGCCTCTTCTCCTTCTCCTTCTCCCTCGTGCTGATGCTAGACTCGCCCTCCTCCCCCACTGCGTCACCGCCCACCGCAGCATCTCCCCCATCTGCACCTGCCTCTCCCCCACCCGCGGCATCACCCGCCCCTACCCCACCCGCAGCCGCAGGGAAGGTCATCTGTGTTCCCATAAACGCATGCTCCAACAACTCCTCCGCCGACGGCCTGGCATTGTAATCGAGCTCGAACGTCTTTTCCAAAAAATCGCGGCACTCTAGGCTGATCTCGTCGGGCAAACTCGGCTTCCTGCCCATGCCGATCTGGAAGAGCGCCTGCATCTGGTTGAGTTCAGCCCACGGATGCGTGCCCGAGATCATCTCGACCACCAGACATCCCAACGACCAAATGTCCGCCTTGATCGTATAGCTCGTCTGCTTCACCACCTCGGGGGCCATCCAAAACACACTCCCCTGCAAACTCGGCCTTGGCGCCCCACCACCCCCACCTGCACCCGCAGCCTTGTTCGTCGCCAACACCAGATCCGACTCGACCTTCTTCGAGATGCCGAAATCCGAGATCTTGATGCCGCCCTTGTTGTCGACGAGAATGTTGGCGCCCTTGATGTCGCGATGCATAATGCCACGATCGTGCAGGAACGACAGCCCCTTGAGGATCTGTCGCACAAAGTTGCGCACCAGCGGCTCCTCAAACGCACCGTAGTTGCGCAGCAGCGCCACAATGCTGCCGCCGGGAACGTACTCGAGGAAAATGTTGAGATGGCTGCCGTCGGCAAACGAGTCGAGGTACTGCACGATGTTCTCGTGCTCGAGCGTCTTGAGCAACTTGATCTCGCTCTCGAGCGCGTCGAGCATGCCCTTTTTGCGCTGGTCGAGGTGCGAGTCGCCCGACGGCAGCTCCACCTGCTTGACGGCCATCAGCAGGCCCGTCTTGGCGTTCATGCCGAGGAAGACGTTGCCAAACGAGCCGGCGCCGATGAGCGCTCCCTTGTGCCACTTGATCGGCGGCTTGTTGGCCGACGGCAGGTAGACGTCCGGCTCGTCGTCGTCGTCCGTGTCCGAGTCGGCGTCCGAGTCGACGTCCGAGTCGGTATACACCGAGCTGGAGCCGCCGTCGCTGTAGTCGGCGTGCTCGTCCATCGAGCGGCGCAGCTCCGAGATGGAGCTGGCGCGCGACGTCGCATTGCGCGTCACGGCCATCGGATCGCCCAGGTGGCGGTCCGACTCGTCGCCGGGCGCATGCAGCACCGACGCAGCACGGTCCGCCGAGTGGCTCGCCACCGTACGGATCGACGCCGCCTTGGACGCTGCGCCACGCGCCTTCGATGCGCGAGGCGCGCCCTCGAGGTCCGACGACTCGTTGGCCTCCTCGTCGTCCTGGTCGTCATCGTGGCCGGCATGACTGCCGTGGACGTAGGCGGACGAGATGCCGCTCGACGGCCGTGTGGAGGCGGCGGCGGACGACGAGCGTGCCGAAGCAGCGCCGGGGATGGGGATGGGCACGCCGTCCTCGTCGACGACCCACCCGCCGCCTGCACCGGCGAGCGAGATGCTCTCTCTTCGGTTCTCGACCTCTTGGGTGATCTCATCGACGGTGAGCAGGCTGGCCGTGTCTGGGTTACGCTCGCGCGCCGCACTGAGACCGTGACGCACCTGCGAGGCGAGACTGCGACGGCTGCGCGCGCTCTCGCCCGAGGCGCGTCGCGACATGGGCGGCCGGCTGGTGTAGGCGCTGTTCTGCGACGAAGAAGGCTGCATGGGCGTGTGGTGCAGATGGCCCGACTTGGCGCCGGCGAAGCCCGGGGTGTATCCGGCCACGGGCGAGCCGACGGCCTTGAGGTCGCGCGACCACTCGTCGAGCGAGTCGCGACCCACAACGGGCGGCAGTGTGGGCGGGCCGGCGACGCCATACTGGTGCTGAGCGGAAGCTCGTTGATGCGCGTCTTGCGAGTGACCGTCTTCGGAGCGCGAGTCGTAGCCGATCTGGATGATGGGATTGGTGCCGCGGTCGTATGTGCGTTCGCGGATGGATGCGGATGAGCGGTCGAGCGGCGTGTTGCTGGACTGGTGGCCGTCGAGCGACTCCTTGTTGGGCAGCGGCGGCGCATCGGGATCGGCGACAAAGCTCCAGGTGCTGTTGCGTTTGGAGCGCGTGCTCGCCGACGCGCGGCCATAGATGGAGCGGCGCGCGGTACGCTGGAGAGCCCTGGAGTCGGTGGAGGGGAAGAAGTCGGCGAGGTTGGTGTTGATGAGCTCGGAAGGCGGGCGCTGGCCAAAGAAGTTGCGGATCTTGCTGGGTTTGCTGCTGACGGTGGGCGAGGTGGCATGCTTGGTGTCCTTCTTGGAGGGCTGCTTTGCGTCGGTCTTGGCCGTGTTGGCGGTGTGAGTGGAGGCGCTGGCGCTGCTGCTGCTGCTGAACGGGCCGACGCCAAGACCGGACATGATGCTGACGGTGGAGGCGCGCTTCATCTTTTTGCCGCTGATGGTGACGCTGCCGGCGTCGCCTTCGTCTGTGTGTGCGGCCGAGCCTGGGCCGGCGGGCTGCATCTGTGCGACGGGCATGCGTTCGCCGAAGAAGGCTTCGAGCTTGTTGCGGCCGGAACGCGCGGGGACTCTGCGGGCGTCCTCGCCGGGGAGATGGTTGGGGATCCTGCGGAGGGTGAGGCCACGTTCGCGCAGCGGATCGTGTGGCTGTGGGGCGTGGCAGATGGCAAGCAGCTCGTTGTCCGAGAGCGCCTTTGTGTTCTGACCGTCTGCGCTTGTGGCAAAGATGCCCCACGTCTCGGTTGCGCCGAGCTCGTCGCCGGTGGGGCCCTGGTCGGCGGTGGGGGTGTAGCTATTGGCGCTGGGGGGTTTGCCAAACTTCTTGAGGACGCGGGCCATGACGTCGTAGGCGTCGCGGCAGTCGCTGACGTTGACGATGCGCGTGGTGTTGTCCTCTTCGCTGATGAATTTGATTGTGCGGCGCTTGAGGTCTTCAAGGGTGGGTGGGTTGGGAGGTGGGTAGCCGGCGAACTGGGAAGCCATGAGGTTGTAGCCCTCGCCGCTGTCGACGCGTCGAATGGCGTTGCCAGAGGAGGACGACTGAACGGGCGAGGCGCCGTAGCGTTGTGACGAAGCAAAAGGCCCACGACCGACCGAGTAGCCTGCTGACTGCTGCTGCTGGATGCCCGACGGGGTTGTGGGCGTGTTGCCGTGAGAGTTGGACTCGGAGATGGGGGTGAGCGGGGAGTAGCCGTCTCTGGCTACGGAGCTGGTGGGGTTGATGGCGGTGCCAGAGTAGGTTTGGGCGCCTGTGGCGGTGGAGGGACGGCCGGTGTTGATGCTGGCGGCGCCGCCAAAGGTAGCGGCGGTGGGGCTATTGGATGTGAGCGCGCCGCGCGATTGGAGCGAGCCGCCAGCATTGGAGTAGCCGCTTGCGCCGGTGGCTGTGCTTGGGCGTGTGGAGTGGAGGCCATGGCCGTGAAGGTGGCGGGCGGAGGAGAGCGACGACGAGGAGGCGCCGACGATGGCTGGAGCTGCGCCTCCTCCGATGGAGTTGACTTTGCGGTGAAGTGCGCCGTCGGCAGTGCTGGGTTTGGATGACGTGGAAGAGGACGAGGCGGTGTTCCAGACGCTGCCACGCGCGGCGCCGGGGGTGAGACCGCGAGCGGCGCTGAGGCCGAAGCCATGGGCGTTGTTGAGGCCGTTGGCGGGGGAGGGATGGCCGGGCATGCCGCGAGAGGCGGACTGCTTGAGGGTGAGTGGTGGCGGGCGCATCTGACCGCGACGGAGGCCCATGGAGTTGGGGCCGAAGCCGGGCGACATGCCGGGGGCGGAGTTGTCGGCGAGGTGGTCGTGCTCGAGGTACTCGATCTCGCCCTCGTTTGCGTAGAGGGCGTGGTTTGCGAGGGGCGACAAGGGCGGGAGGGAGACGGCGCTGGGTCTGCGAGCGAGTGCGGCGTCTGCGCAGCGCTTGTTGAGGAGCTTGATGGCGGCCTGGATGCGGACGCGGTCCTTGATCATGGTGATGCCCATTTCCTTGAGGGCGGCCTGGTCGACATCGAGGAGGATGGAGCCGCGAATGTCGTTTTCGGCGAACGTAGCGGCGTGGTGACCGAGGCGAGCGGCGGTGAGCCATGCGGCGACGTCGGCGTCCTCCCATTTGCTGAGATCGTCGTAGGTGGGGCCGGCGGGGAGGAAGGCGGCGGAGAGCGGTGTGGTAGGTCGAGAGCGTGGGCTACCTGCTGAAGAAGAGGGCCCTCCGAACTGGGCGGCGATGGCGCCTGAGCCCATTTGGAGCGGGAAGCCCGGGCTGGTGGGCGTGGCAGCGCTCATGGCACGACGAGGGCGTGGCAAAGCAGGCGGCAGAGCAAGCGGCTGGTAGGTGTGCGCCTTTATAAGTGAGTTGTTGGATGAGTTGGCGATGACATGGAAGGAAGGTGCGGCCGTACGCGCGCGCGATGACAGCCGGAGGAAGGAGGTGATGAGGGTGATGATGTCGAGAGGAGAGTGTGGTGAGCGCGTGGGATGGATTGCTCGGTGGCACCTGCAGCCCAAATGAGCCGCGCACGGCTGCACGCGCCTCCTCTCTCTCTCTCTCTGCACCCTGAAAGCTGCTCTCCAGAATCCGAATTCGGCCAAAGGAGCGCGGAGCAGCGGAGTCTCTTTTTCAAAACGCGTGTCGAGTGAAACCTGGCGTGGGGGCCGCTGTTTGAGCCTCTTCTGGCTTTGTTTGCTGGCTACAGTATGCTTTCATTGTGGCGCTCTGATGGCCTTTGACTCCGCACCACACGCTGACGTTGCACAATGCAGCGAACGGAGCCTGATTCCCACGACGTGCACACTCACAATAGAAGCGCAAAAAAACGTACAGAGTGTTCGTATTCCGATTGGGGGCGAGACGACGATTCCAGATACAGGTACAGCTCAGCGCGGCCGTGCAGCTAAGCGAGGGCCGGCCGCGCGAGGACAAAGAGCAAAGACAGCAAGACGACGGGGGGAGATTAAGGGGCAGTGCGAAGACGAGAGCGGACAAGAAAAAGCCAAGGACCTGCTGGCTTTTTTGGGGCGAAGCGAAACTACAACGATGCGAGCGTGGGCAACAACGAGGCCAGCACAGCTGCGATGCAGGCAGCTAGCGACGATGCACCCAGCGACGACGTGGCGCTGTTCTTTTGGAGCGCCGACTTGGAGTAGGGCACAGGTGTACCGGAGACGAGCGTTGAAAACGGATCGAGGGTTGCTGCGGAAGCGCTTGGGCCGGTTGGCGTGCTCGAGGGTACGGCGGTAGGGTCGTATTCCGAACCCACGGCGCCCGCCGCTGGGTTGGCCGACGACGACTTGAGCACGGGCGAGTCCATGAGCCACGACACTGCACCCATGATGTGCTGTTGAAAGACGGGATCGTTCCACATGGCATTCGTATGTCCCAGCGCCGTATAGAAGCTCCTCCCCTCTCCACCCGTCCCCGCTGTGCCCGATCGGATCTCCTGCTTGGTAGGGTCGGTCCCGCCTCCCACCTTGACATGCGGGTTGTAGGTGAGCTGATCGCCCTCCTTCCACCACGCGATCGGGTGTGGCGAACCTTGCTCGCTCGCACGCTGCTTGACCGTCTCGACCGGATCCGCATACGACGACTCATCCGCCGTGATGACATACTGCTTGCCCCACTTGGACGGGTTCGAGTTGAAGTTGTACATCTCGTCGTACACCCGCCACGTCGCATTCAGATGCTGCGTCGACGGATGCGTGCGGTTGACAATGTCGAGCGTAGCATGCGTGATCTGCGGATGGTAGTTGAAATACGCACCCACCAGTCGTCCATACCAGTGCTGCTCGTACAGCGCATCGCATGCCTCGTGTACGCCCATGTAGCCTCCGCCCGCCTCGATGTACTTTCGCATGGCCTCGGCTCCGTCCGCGGAAAGCGCCTTGCCCGAAACCGAGATGAACATGAGCATGTCGAACTGCGACAGCCACCCATCCTTTTCAAAGTCGCTCGGGTCGTCCGAGTGTACGGTGTCGATGGGCGGATTGGCTGTTTTGGCAAGCTGCTGTACCGCTTTGGTCGCGGTGGGGATCGAGTAGTGGTGGAAGCCCTGCGTGTAGGTGTAGATGAGCATCTTTTTGCGCGCTTCCACCGACGGCGCCGCACTCAGCACCAGCGCCAGTGCTGCGCATGTGAGCAGGACCGCCTTGCGTGTCGGCGTCATTGCGGGAGGATGTGTGTCGGGGATCGTCAGGTAGTGATGTCGTCTCGGGATTTTCTAGCTTTGCTCCTGACGATGACGACGTTTTGCTCAACGAGACTGTGGATTGAAAGAGTGTGTTGGGAGTGTTGTTCAAAAGAATGTTGGTCGGGTAGCGTGAAAGGGAATGGGGGAGTGGGGTCAAGAGAGCAAGTGGAGATGGTGGATGGAGAGGGAGTGGGAGAGGGAGTGGTGTTAGTATGGTGTCGACACCATCTACAGGAGTCAAGTCAAGCCAGGGCTGAGGCGGTGCTGCGGAGACGGCAAGGGGGGGGAAGGGGTCTGTTGCAGGGCAAACTTGACAGGCAGCTGAGCGGCAGCGGAGAGTGAAAATGCGCACACAGACATCGAAGCCCTTCGCTCGTGGAAGGCGGTGTGTGCGCGGGCGTCGAGATTTGGGCCATGCCGTTGGCGGGCAGGAGGGACGGCAGGGGTCAGTTGCGCCAACGGGCGCCAACAGGGGGGAACGACGGCCACGGCAACGGGAGGAAGGAGGAACGAGCGCAAGGCCTGCAAGGTAGATTGAAGGATCGTCGAAGCGAACGCAGCGTGCAGCCGGTGCAGCAGGTGCAGCAGGTGCAGCTGTTGCGAGCGACGGTGCATCTCGACAAAGCTTGCCGGTGCATGCGGTGTCTGGGTCTGCGCATGGTGCCGCATTGTTTCGGCCATCCTCTGCGCAGCTACAGTACACGGCCAATAAAGCTCGGATGGCTCATCATCTGCGTTCATTGCCCAAAGAGCCATAACCAAGCGGGACTGTATGTAAACACGATACAGGTGCAAAGAGGCGTCGAGGCGTGCGTGTGGAACGGAGGCGGCGTATGGAATGGGCATGTCTGCTCTCAGCCGTCCCAACGGAGCGGGGCACGATCAACACTCGTAGCCATGTCGACTGTGTTTGCTGGCGTGCAGCTGGTTGGGCGCGAAATGCAAGCGCGCCTCACGCACTGCACGCCTGCGCGTAGAGTGCCTAGAGTGCGTGCGTAAAGTGGTTGGATGCCTTGTCGGCTGCTGGGCAGTGCGAGTGCGCGCTGCATTTTGGTGTTGGTTTCAGCCGGAGCTTCGTGTGTGTGTGTGCTGGCAAGGCAAGCGGCGTGTGCAAGGAGGTGCCGAAAATACCGCCCCGCGTCGGCAGCTCAAAAAACAGAGCTGCGCCTTGACAGCCGAGATGCCGATCGCTCGCGAAAAAGGAAAAAGGAAACGATCTGCAAATCTCGCCTAGCGAGCCCCTCCCCCGCCGCTGCTCCCTCTTCTCTCTCTCTCGAGCTGTCGACTGCGATCTTGGCTACAGCACGATCAAGCTCGTTGCTGCTCCGATCCGCTTTGCTTTTTCCCCCGCAACGCCAGGAATAGCATTCATATCTCCCAAACGCTCTTCGACGGGTGCTACCCCACCGACGTGCGAAATTGACCTGCATTCACGCTCCGCTTCGCCGGCAATGCCAACACTCAACTTCGACCAAACTCGCAATTTTTGGCGCTCCGCCCACCAAAATCCCATCTCGCCAACCGCCGGAGCGCTCATGCATGCTCAGATGCTCGGCCTGCGTGATCCAAGCTTCTTGGCCTTACCTTGCGCTCGTATCGTTGGTGTGTGACGTGCCAGTTGCATCCCGGCGTGCCGGCGTGCCTACAGCGTTTGGGTGGCGCGCGCGCCGCCAAGACTCGACCATGCCTCAACGCCGCCTTCCAGGAATGCGTAGGAGCAGTCACTTTATGCACCTCGACCACGCCGCTCGCGTGACGAGTCGATTCCGAGTGTCGACACCTTTTTTGGAGGAGATGTGGCTGCACTCGCGGTCTAACAAACTAAATCTGGGAGTTGGACTCACGTGACGCTGGTCAGGGTCTTTTTGGGAAATTTTTCGGGCCACCGGTCTCGCACGATTTGGAAGAAGGCGCAGCTGGCTCTCTCCACATGCAGATGGGAGCACGAGCAAATTTGCACCCCTCCTCCTCCATCCGCAGCCTCATCCTCACCATCCATCCCCTCAACACACGACTGCACGCACACCACCGCTCACCATCATGGAGTACGCAGCATTGCGGCCGGTAGCGTCCAGCTCGGCGCGGCCGTCGTCGTCGCGCTCGCCCGAGTCGCACTACTGGCGCAAGTTCCGCGCCCCCGTCTTTGTCAAGGAGCTCGCGCCCATCACGTCCATCCACTTTGTCCCGCCCGTCTCGGTCTACTCTACCGCATCCGAGGACGACGCCGCACCCACCTCGGTGGTGGGATCGACGTCCACCCAACCCACCAGCGTCTCGGCACGCCAAAAGTTTGCGGTGACCACGGGCGCGCGCGTCCAGATCTACTCGATGCGCAACGCACGCGTCGCCAAGACCATCTCGCGCTTCAAGGATGTAGCGCGCTCAGCGAATTTTCGCTCCGACGGTCGACTCATGGTGGCGGGTGACGATTCGGGCTTGATCCAGGTGTTCGATACGACGTCGCGCGCGATTCTGCGTACGATGCGCGGCCATTCGAATCCGGTGCATGTGACCAGGTTCTCGCCCAACGGAACCGAAATCATGTCCGCCTCCGACGATCGCACCGTCAGGCTGTGGGATGTACCCGAGCAGAAGGCGGTGCACGTCTTCGAGGGGCATGAGGACTATGTTCGATCCGCCGTGTTTTCGCCCGACAACCCGGCGCTCTTGCTGAGTGGAAGCTACGATGCCACCGTCAAGCTGTGGGATGCACGCATGGGCGAACAGGGCGGATGCGCCATGACCATGAACCACGGCGCGCCTGTCGAGGACGTATTGGTGTATCCGACCGGCGGAGGTGGTGTGGCGCTGTCGGCGGGTGGACCCGTGATGAAGGTCTGGGACCTCATGATGGGCGGTCGATGCATGGCGAGCATCTCGAACCACCAAAAGACCATCACCTCGCTCGCGCTTTCGGTCCACTCGGGTGCAGACTTTTCCGTCGACAACACCGAGTCCCTCGGCGGCATGCGTATCCTCACCGGAGGTCTGGATCATCTCGTCAAAGTGTACGATCCAGCGCACGATTTCAAGGTGACGCATACGATGCGGTACCCTTCGCCGATCTTGTCGATGGCAGTGTCGCCGGACGAGTCGCATATTGCGGTGGGTATGGCGGATGGCACGCTGTGTGTGCGCAAGCGCGACATCAAGGCGAGCGAGCTCGAGCGTCGAGAAGCCGAACGCGCGGCTATGAACGCGGGCGCGTACGAGTTCTTCATGCAGGGGAGGGTGGCGACCAACCAGCCGGGCAAGGTGAATGCGCGTCGGGCGACGGACGATATCCGCGTAGACGCCGTGCGCAAACGCAAGCTCGCCGACTACGATCGATTGCTCAAATCCTTCCGCTACTCGGATGCGCTCGATGCTGCGCTCCGCAAAGGCGTCGCTCCCAGCGTCACATTCGGGTTGATTTTGGAGCTGATTCACCGTAGTCCGAGGGGTTCGGCGGATGGGCTTAGACGCGCTATTGCTGGTCGCGACGATGTGACGCTCGAACCGGTACTCAGGTTCTTGCTGCGCCACGCTGCCAACCCGAGCTATGTAGACTTGGTCTGCGACACGCTCAACGTCATCGTCGACACGTATGCGGGTGTGATCGGTCAGAGTCCGCTGATCGACGATCTTTTCGGAAGGATCTGGGCCAAAGTCGCCGACGAACTGCGGTTGCAGCGCGACCTTATGCAGGTCAGGGGAAGTCTCGAGATGATTCTGTCGGCTACCGCGATAGGTGCCGCTTCCGCTGCCGCCACTGCGTAGCTTGCACTCTTCAATCGCATTGCATTTGCCTCTGTTCTGCCCGTCCAAGCGTGTTCGCTGGGTTGAGCCTGGAGATTTCGTATTTTGGGTTCGAGAATGTTTGAGAGGCTTCAAAAACAATTGGGGTCACGAAAAAAGACACGGGCGATTCATAGCATAAACCGAAGCTGAATTGTCCATAACGAGAAAACAGAGGGTGGGGATTGAGGGACACGATGCGAACGAGTCTTGCGAACACCGGGTGCGCAGATCTACTTGGGCATGCCCTTCTTGACGTTGTCCCACTTGCTGAAGGGATAGGAGATGTGGTTGAGCGTTGCGTCGAGGGTGCCCATATTCTTGGCCGTCAAGGCAACCAGACTCCTATCCGCACCGCCCTGGGTCTTGGTAGCATCGCCACTGAGCTCCCAGAACATCGCACCACGCAGACGCTTGTTGCGGATGTACTCGCACTTGAGCAGCACATTCTGCGGCGTATCGTACGAGATAAACTCGCGCTTGGCCGAATCGTAGCTCCAACTCGCCGCGATCTTGGTGTTGATCATCTCCTTGGCCCCCTTGACGGGGAGGAACTTGTAGTCCCAGTTACCCGCCTCCCAAGTACCCTGTCCCGTACCGTTGTAGGGTTTCTGAGGTCCATCGGTGTTCTGGAACCCGCGACCGTAGAGGGGGATTCCGAGGACGAGCTTGTGGGAAACAACGCCGTTGTTGATGTAAAAGTTGACCGCGTCGTCTGCAGAGGGTGGCTTGCCTTTGATGTTCCACAGGTTGGCTTGGTGGCCCGTGACCGTGGACCAGGCGCCGGAAAAGTCGTACGCCATGAGGTTCCAAAAGTCGAGGTACTGATCCATCTTGGCCACCTCGAGCACCTTGTAGTGGTCTGCACCACACGGCGCAGCGATCGAGAGCAGATAGGGAACCTTGTCCTGCTTCTTGGCTGCATGAGCCGTCAGTCCCGCGCGCAGCTCCTTGAGCAGCGAGGTAAAGTTGGTCGCCTGCTGTGCATTGGCCGGATACTCCCAGTCGATATCGAGTCCATCCAGTCCGTCATTCTCAAGGATGGCGATGGCAGACGACACAAAGCGCGCGCGCTTCTTAGGGTCCGCCGCCATGGGCGCAAAGTGCGGCCCAAACGTCCAGCCACCGATGGAGAGCATGAGCTTAAGTGCGCGGTTCTGCTTCTTCATGAGCAGAAACTGCTTGAAGTTGCCGTAGAGGTTGTTGCCCGTGTCGTTCCACGAGTCGCCGGCATAGTGCAGCTGCTCGTCCGCCCACAGGTCCGTGAGGATGCACTCGCCCGTGTCGGGCTTGACGTCGGCAAACGCATAGAGGATGTGCGTCAGCTGGCTTGCGGGCACGTCAGAAGGTGCGTACTTGCGGCCGTAGATGCCCCAGTTGGTAAAGTAGGCCAAGTTGACGCGCGGAACCACGGCTCCGTTGGTGGTAAAGCTGTGGCCGTCCGCATCAGTGGCGTCGTCCTCGGGCGCAGTGTCGCCGTTGGCAGGAGCAGCGGGCGTGGTTGGAGCAGTCACTGGAGTGGTACCGGTTGCGGGAGCGGTGGTAGCGGGGTCAACCGACGACGACGGCTGCGAGGTAGCAGGTGCGTTGGTGGCAGGGGCTGTGGCGGCGGGCGCGTCGGTGGCAGCCGCCGTCGAGTACGCAGCAGGCTTGGTGGGCGAGGGAGGCAGCGACGAGGCGGGCGACGACGACGACTTGTCCTCGTCAAAGCGCCGCGAGAGCTTGTGTTTGAGGCCTGTAACCAGAAAAGCAGGTCAGTGTACGGCCTCGGGAGCGTGTATGCGCTCGCAAAACTTACGAGCAAGGATGGGCATGGCGGATGTCTAAGTCCGGTTGCGTGGTTTGTACGAGATCGAGGTCAAAGTGCAAGATATGGTGGTTGTTCAACGGTAACGATGGCGAGGGCGATGTGGAAGGGAAGAGAGATGGTAGTGCACTGGCAAGAGGTCGGGGTTGAGAGTCGGGTTGGAGGTGCGCGGATCGGAGCGTGTAAATAGGGCGAGCGGGGGTCGAAGGTGCACACTCCACGACGGTGCACACGAGCGTCTGCGTGGATGTATGCCCTCAAGGACGGGCGGAGAGGGGGTCGATGTAGCGGTGCAGCATACAGTCGTCTTGCCAAGTGGACAGGTGGTGAGCTTTGTTCGAGGCAGATTCTACCGAGCCCTGAAAAGCTGCAACAGCGCCTCATGCGCATCTCGACAGCCTCACCGCGCGCTAAGAAAAAGTGGAGGCGAGGCAGACTTTCCTATTCGAGCGGCGAATTTCGAGCCGCCAACAAAAACAAGGCTGGGAACAAATGCACCTTTTGGCTGCCCCTGATTCTCTCGTACCTCCGACTGCATACAGTACACTCTGTCCGCCCTGACACTGCGGCCATACACTGTAGCTCGATCGGCCCACACAATCATCCCGAGTCTGTACTGTATGCTCGCTTTCACTGTGTACCAACTGCGTGCTTGGTGGGTCCGATCGAGAGTGAGCCAATCGGTTGTCGTCCTGCTAGCATCGAAGTTGCTCGATGCTCGATCGGACAATACGGGGACGCAGGCGCCCGCTCGATTAGCCTGAGAACGTCCGTCTTGGCATGCGTCCGAGCGGTGCCTATCCGAGGCGGATGCGTGGATGCGTGGCAAGCAGATCAGCAGCGCAGTGCCGAAACCGGGCAGGATCGGCGTGGATCGACGCAGCGGCCAGCTTGCAGCTCCGACCTGCTTGGCCCAACTCTACCTTGCCGCGAGGCTCTGCCTTTGCCTCGCGGCCCTGCCGAGACCAACACTCGCATGCAATCCCGAACAGCAGCGCTCCAAGCTTGACGCGCCAAATTGGCGCCCCACCAAACAGTGTAAGATCGAGACCTGCTCAATCGTGAGTTAGACTTGTCGGCCGATTGGAGTGCGCTCGGCAACCACCGGATACGCGCCGCGGCCCGGCCGACTTCTTCCATTGCTCGGGCAGGACCCTTGGGTGTGCGCAGTTGCTCCTCACCTCCACGTACCGCACCCATCCAGCCCAAGCATGTCCGCATCCACCGCCAAGCCAGCAGGCGTATACGCCCACCTCCTGCCGCCGTCGTGGAAGCGTAAGATCGCAGAGTGGCTGCAGGAAGACTGCCCCTCGTTCGACTGGGGCGGCTTCGTGGTGGGCGAGGACACCAAGCGCGCCACACTCTTCTGCAAGAGCGAGGGCTGCCTCGCAGGCGTACCGTTCTTCGACGAGGTCTTCCGCCAGCTCGACTGCACCGTCACCTGGCACTACAACGAGGGCGACTGGCTCGGCTCGTCCGACGGCAGTGCGGTCAAGATTGCGGTGGCCACGGTGACGGGTGCGTCGCGCAAGATCCTGCTCGGCGAGCGCGTGGCGCTCAACACGCTCGCGCGGTGCTCCGGAATCGCCACCGCCTCGGCACGATTCTTGGCCAAGGCGAGAACCGCCGGCTACACGGGCATCGTCGCGGGCACGCGCAAGACCACACCGGGGTTCAGGGACGTGGAAAAGTACGGCATGCTCGTCGGAGGCGTCGACATGCACAGGTACGACCTCAGCAGCATGGTCATGCTCAAGGACAACCACATCTGGTCCACTGGATCCGTCACCAACGCCGTGCACGCCGCAAGGTCCGCGTGCGGCTTCTCGCTCAAGATCGACGTCGAGGTGCAGAGCTACGACGAGGCGGTCGAGGCCATCACTGCGGGCGCCGACGTGGTCATGCTCGACAACATGGACGGCGACACGCTCATCTCCAACGCAACGCGCCTGAAAGCAGAGTTTGCGGGAAAGCACAAGTTCCTCCTCGAATCGTCCGGCGGTATTGACATCGACAATGTCCAGCAGGGCGGACACGTCGACAATGGTAAGTGCCCGCCAGTTATGTACGGTCGTGAGTTGGAAGCTGACTGTTCCGAGTTGGGATCGCAGCTATCGACATTATCTCTACCAGCTCCATCCACCAGTCGACTAAGCACGTCGACTTTTCGCTCAAGATCGACCCGTCCTCGTAGATGCATCCGACCCATCGCAATCGCAATCGCAATCGCAATCGCAAAGGATCATCGGATCGATTCGGGCTGTGTGCATCGGCCTTGCCGACGCCACATGACACGCGCGCGAACCAGTCGGCCTGCTTCCGACGCGTCTGAGTGAAGCCAAGTGGGGCTATATAATACACGCGGCCGGCTTCGAGTTGCCCAGTTGTGGCGCACGTTTCATTGCTGCCTTCATGATGAGCGCGCTACAGGATAGCGACGGCGTGCTGGTGCTGGCGCGCATCGATGCGCTCGTCGCCGACCTGCTACACCAGCTTGCCGACCAGCTAGATGCGGTGCGCCCCGCGCCTTTGCGGATCTCATCCACGGTCGCCGAGCCAGGCGAACGAGACGCTGATGCTGCGCAGCGAAAGGCGCGGCCGGTGATGTTCCCCACGCGCGCATCTAGCGGCGTGCGACGATTCGGTGAGTTGCCCCCACGCGCTCCTGTCCTTTTGTAGGCGCCTGACTCACTCGCGGTGGGGGTGTAGCGCAGTACGTGCGTGTGCTCGAGGTGGTGCAGGCGAACCTGCTTGCCGGACGCACGATGACCAAACGGTAAGCCACTTCCTCTCGGCTCTCCAGACGCGTGTGCTGATCGTGATGGCGCGGACAGGGACGTCTACTATACATGCAGCGAGGTGTTTAACACGCAGCGCGCGTCGGACTTGGTGGTGGAGCGACTAGGCCAGCTGCTGGGCTGCACACGTGGGTCGCTGGGGATCGTCGCCTCGACGCGCGGGCTCGTATCTGGGTCGATGCACCTACGCTCGCCCGACGGTCGTTCTGTACACTCTGTTCGTGGTGAGACGCAGCGTATCCCCGCCGACATTGGCGCCGCATGGACGGTGCACCTCACCTGTCCCGAGGATTGCCGCGGACACGTCGTGCTGGTCGTCGAAAAGGCATGCGTCTTCCAGCGCCTACTCGACCTCCAAATCGGCAGCTTGATCGTCGTCACGGCGTGCGGATACGCCGACACCGCCACGCTTCAACTCGTGCGTTTGCTCGCTGCATCCCCCTGCCCTGGAGGCGTGCGGGTGTGCGGGCTGTTTGATGGCGACCCGTACGGCGTGGACATCCACATGCACTACTGCGCCGCCACGCCCATCGAGTGGCTCGGTGTCGACGCAGACGAGTTTGACCTCGCGCCCCACACGCACACGGCGCTGCGTGCCGACGAACGCACAAAGGCAATGCGTCTCCTCCGCCACCCCTCCCCCGTCCGGGAAACGCACCGGTAAGCCATACCCCAACCGCTTCCGCACTCAACACTCCACTGACGAGCAAGCCTGCACAGACGCCGCCTGACATCCATGCTGCTCGACGGATACAAGGTGCAGATCGACGCCGCATACAACTGGACCGGCGGTCTGGGCGCCTATCTGCAACACAAGCTCGAGCTATAGCGTGCGCCAAAAATTGAGCATTTCCATCAATCCTTCCTACAGTGTCTTGGTCTAGACGCGCGGTACGGTTTCGCGGTCGGGATACTCGAGCGAGGCGTCGATGCCGTTGGTTCTAGTCTTTGCAAAGGCGGCGGATTCTTCGTCGTCGTCGTCCCTGCGCTGCGCACCGTCAGCGTGGGGGCTCTGAATGTTGAACTGCGCATAGCTGGTGCGCTGGTCGTTGTGCTCGGGGTATGCGTCTTCGTTGGCGGCAGCGAGGTGTTCGTTGGGGATGCGGGGCGAGTAGGGTTTGTGGCTCTGCGCATGGCTCAGCGGCGGGTAGTAGAGCTTGTACGACCAGTACGCGATGACCAGTCCGAGCAGCGAGCCGGCGATCACGTCGGTGGCATGGTGTCTATAGTCCATCGTTCGGCTTACCGCAATGAGCGTAGCGGCCATGAGAGGGGTGCCGCACAGCCATGCCGTGACCGCATGGCCTCGACGGTCGAATAAGTGCAGCTTGCCTGCGAGGTACAGCGCCAGATAGGTGAAACCGGCAAAGCTCGTGCTCGCGTGGCCCGAGGGGAAGCTTCGGAAGCCGTCGCGCAGCGTCTTGCTGTCCACGCCCACGCTGCAGATGGCGTCGGTGACGAGTCCGTATGGCTCGGCATTGCGCGAACCGGCCAGCGGCTGACATCGATCGATCAGATCCGGGCGAGGTCGGCCGACGGTGACCTTGACGATGGTGGTGATGGTGAGCGTGAGTGCGTTGGCGAGAACGAATCCAAGCAGGCCGTTGTGGAGGTCCCAGACGGACCTGCTGATGCCGAGCGAGAAGCCTACGATGATGAGGGCAGGAATTAGCACGGCGAGTACACCAAGCAGCCAGGTAGGCACGCGTTCATGCACGGCATACGTGTGCTGGATCGAGGTGTCCGTGAGCGAGAACTCGCGCCGGAAGCCGTGTACATTGTTGATGATGGCGAGTAATCCCGCAAGCAGGATGGTGATGATCCAGTCGGGCAGATACGAGCGCAGCAGCTCCAGTCGACGACGGCGTGTCAGGGGCGCGTGCGACGAACTCCACCGCAGCTGCGAGTAGAGAGACTCGCGCTGCCGACTTGTTCCAGCATGGTCCGTCATCTTTGTCTAGGGAGGGATGGTGGTAGTCCGAAACCAACTTGTCCAAAGCCAGACTGCGGGGATACAGGAGCACGCGTAGATCCTCCGAGCAGAGAAGTCGCGCATCATGCATACGGCTCGTCTTGGCTCGGAGCGAATTCGCAATTCCCGCCCCCCCGCGCCTCGTACAGACAAAGTCCATTGCCGCTCCACTGCCGCCATGCGCTCTCTCTTGGCAACTCGGCAACACACACAGCCTCACGCGACCTCAAACACAGCAAACCTTCGACTCTATTTTTTTGCCCCGGGCAAGCTGCACAGACCTCCTATCCCCGGCCCGATACCCCCTCTGCTTTCCGAACGGTGGGCAAATTCGGCACACCCGCGACCTTTCTTTCTGGTATTGCATTGCCCACTACGTTTGGATGCGGGTGCTTTCGCTATGCGCCCACGCTACCTACCTGCTTGCCATTGATGCTAACCCCACCCCCCTGCGGCTGTTGGCGTTTTTCGCGCTCGAGCGTCCACATGAGCACGCGGTTGCACGTTACGAGCACATGCCTCAGCGCGCGCGTCCACGTCTCGTCGCTACCGAACTGGAGCCTGATACTCGCCTCGCCGATCTTGTCCTTGTTGATGGCGTGCGGGGTCTGGAACGCCGCATCGTGGCTGCCCGCAAACTCGACGACCTGCTTGAGACACGCCAGGAAGCCCGTCTGTGCATGGTCGAAGCGTCGACTCTGCAGCAGCCGTCCGATCTGCCAGTCGGACGAACCGTACAGCTCGTACACCGCCTTCTCACCCTCCTCATCCACCTCCCCGACGTTCGGATCCATCCCGCCAGGCGCAGCAGGTAGAATGCTGGATGCGGCGGTTGTGGATGAGGCAGAGTACCGATGTGAATGCGTGTCCTCGTATCTGTATACGACACTGAAGGAGCCCTTGGGCACGAGGCGGTACCCGCGGAATCCGACGCCGAGCTTGCGTGCGATCACATCGAGCAGCAGTGCCGTCTGACCCCATGCCGCATTGATCTCGTTCCACTCCACCGCTTGGCCGGGCAACCTGCCCAATCGAAGCCCGTTGATCGTCGCGATCCCGCCAGAGTGGCCGATGCAGAAGGCGTCCGTGTACACGTTGGATGCGCGCAGCCGCGCGAGCAGCTGCCGATCGTGCGCGATCGACATGCCCAACGAGCTCTTTTCGTCCTCGAGCTTGGACAGCGTGAGCGTGTGCGAAGAGTACTGCGACCAGAACCGCTCCTCCTCCTGCTCGAGCGCGCGTTCTTCTACGCGCATCGCCTCGAGTTCCGCCTCGACTGCGAGACGCGCTGCTTCCGCCTCGTCCAATTCGGCCAGTGCGGTTGCTTCGTCCTCGGCCAGCTGCGCAATCTCCCGCTGCAGCGCCAGGCATTCCTTGCGCGCGTCGGATTCGAGCGCAGCCATGTCGTCGGCACTGCTCGGCCCAGCTTCGGCCGAGGAGGCGGTGGATGATCGCCGCGCAGGCTTGGAGGGCAGAAGCTTGTATCGGCGCAGTTCGGACTCGAAGGCGAGGTACGAGTCGCGCTGGGTGCGCAGCTGCGACATCTGCGCATCCATAATGTCGAGCAGCGTGTCGGTGCACGCCTTGCACAGCGGATGGTCGATCATCGTCGCCGAGCCTTTGTCATTCCCGCTCGCTTCGGTCGCAGGCGGGTGCGAGAGCAGATCAAACAGCGCCGACGACGCCGCGAGTCGTGCAGACAGAGAGTTGGCATCGGCAGTCGACGCTTCCACGCCGTCCGCCTTGGATGCTTCTTGGGCGGATGTGCCTTGGTTCTTGTCGGGCGTCGAGACGGTTCTGGACGTTGGTGTGGGCCGGTTGGGTTGGCGAGAGGCGATGAACGAGTCCTGCACAAGGTCGTAGGCGGACTGGTTCAGGTCGAGCTCCGAGCCGACGCTGGGATGGAGCAGCAGCGGCTGCCTGCATCGCTGACAGCTCCACGACATGGTGGCGTGCCAAACGGAAGATTCAGAGCGCCGCTGTAGGATGAGAGCGACAGGAGTGTCACCGACAGGGCTAGCGCGACATTTCAAAGCAGAAGCAGTATTCGGAGGCGGCAACGCTTTGGGTGATGATGTGGTGGTGGTGGTGGTAGTGGTGATGCGAGCCTTGGCTGCACATGCGCGACTTCCGATTCAGGGTCCAAAAGCGTTGGCGAGCTGCGCATCGACGCGCCGAAACACGCACGTCTGCCTCCACCTTTTTCGCCGACCGCTCAGCAATCCGCTCAGCCAACGTCAAGAACGCACGCACTGTCAAAATCGTCAAGACAGGCAAGCAAACATGCGCTCTAAGAGAAGGACAAGAGATGTTCGCCGTGGACTTTTGTTCGTAACTACGTGACAAGAGGCCGCGGAGATGTGGCTGACAAAAGTTACGAGATGCACGTACTACAAACGCCCTCATACCATCGTTCAGATGTCTCAAAGCCCGACTGTTGAGGAGGAAAGCGAGCGTGAGCACGAAAGTAGGAAGAAAAGAAGAAAGGGGGGGGG